GAATTTGGCCAAAGTCTTTTGTGAGGCTGAAGAAGTTGCTTTACAATGCTGGGAATAGGACTGGAGAAAGAGACAGACATGGTGGCCTAGACTGAGGTGATTCTCCCTGGAAAAATGAAAGACCTTCCAAAAACCATAACTTTTGCTCTGAGAAGAACTTCAGAGATGACCAAGTGCACGCCTCTCATTGTCTAGTGAGGCAACTGAGTCAGAGGTTGGGCAGCTTTGCTAAGATCATCCTGTGGATGCCCAAGATGCCCAGAGTCTAGTCCAGTTTATTTTTCACTGTCCAATGCTGCCACCCTCATGAGGAAATAAATGCCTGGGTACTTTTAATAGTCTCCTGCAGTTTATTATCATAATGGAAACTGTGAGTCGCCTCTGTTCTCCTACCATGGATTTATGATCCCAGCAACAAGCCCAGTATGACAAACAGAGTCAGTGCCAGTGGGCAATAACACTCTTCCCGTTCTCTGCTGATTTATTTCTGAAATGGTTAGATCCCTGATTCGCCCACACACACCCAAATCAAACACACACACACACACACACACACACACACACACACACACACACACACTGAGCCAAAATGGCAGTGACTCCAGAGGTTTTCAGGGTGTTTGTTCAAGATGTGTGTAGGCAATCTGCATTTCTGGAATTCATGAAAGTTTAGAGAGAAAAAAAAAATACCTAACCAATATGCCACTTTTAGAAACATGGTTCAGTGCCTTGAGATAATGGGAATGTTTTTAGCCCACTTTGTGGAAATGACTTTGGACTTTCTTGGCCTCGGGAACAGACCAACAATGAGATGGTTCACTTGGAGATAGAGCAGTGAGAAGTTGGAGCTGCTATGCTTATCAAGGGGCTCAAATAAGTAGAACAGCAAATCTCTCAAAACAATGCAGAAAACCCTATGAAAATGGAAATATTGAATGTAGTGAGCAGTTGGGAGAAATGGCCTGGGAGTGGGAGCTAACTGGAGGCAGATGGAGAGAGGTGGGGACCCATCTGACTCCTCTCAGCTCCTGATGGGAGATGCCTTAAGCTTTCTAAGCTGGGCATAGTTTATAAATCAGACTCCTGCACTGGAGTCTGCCCCGCCCTGTCTTCTCCCTAGATGTACCTACTTCATTCTAGTTCTGTAGCCACCTGGGATTCCAAAGCAGGAGTGGCAATGCCTGGGAGTCATACCGTGTGAAGTGGAGACAACAACACTGGTTGGCAATTATGACCAAAAGCATACACATGCAGGAACAGAAAGATAGTGGCTTCAAAAATCTGAGGTACAGAATAACCTATTGGTGACAAAAGAGGTGACCAATATTTTTGGATGAGTTTTCTTTATACTAAAAAATACTTGGACTTGCACCTGATAGTAATTTGGAAAAGGTCCTTAAAGTAACAAAGATTAGTATATTATCCATTCAAAACAGAAGAAAGAAATTTTAATGTATTCACCCTAAGAAATGATAAAAGTTTAAGGTGATCAATATGCTAATTACCTTCAGTGGATCCATCACCCACTTTATACATGAATTAAAACATTGCATTGTCCTTCATAAATATGTACAAATTTTACATGTCAAGCAAAAGGATCTTTAAGCATAAAAAAATGTAACATTAATTAATTAATAAGGTGTGACATGGGCACATATCATATGGACTACATGCTGGAGGATTGAAAAGCATCATATAAGAAAAGACAACATTTCTGTCCTTGTGGCTTATAGTTGAGGGAAGACAGAATGTGAACAGTATTTATGACATGGTAGGAATCAAGTTTAGAGAATGTTAAGACACTCTGACACTATAAAAGAATATAGGTGAATTTAGGGAGGGATCTAGGTTAAATGAGATACTGTGCTTACAGGGCTCAGAAGAGTACCTGGAACATAGTAAATACTCAATGAACTGTGGCTATTATATTTGTTATTACTAATGGTCTAAAAGCATGCTTCAAAAAGCATGTAAAAGAACTGTAAAAAAGTCCCTGATCCACATTCATTCATTCATTTGTTCATTGAATGTACACTTTTTTGTTTTGTTTTAGCTTACATTGTGAGGTGCTAAAGTCAGTTCACAAACATAAAGATCTCCACCTTCCAGGGGCTCAAATTCTAATAGGGATGAAAGACATGTATGGATCATTGTAAAGTGGTGTAATACAAAACATGTTATGTAATGCTAAGGTCTGCCTTGCAGGGGTCTGTTGTTATTTGGATCTGAAAAGTCCCTCAGGGTCCACATGTTAAGGGTGTAGTCCCCAGACCATGGCACTGTTAGAAGGTTCCGGAGCCTCTGGAGGTAGGGCCTAATGAAAGGAATTTAGGTCACAGAGAGTGTGCCCTTGAAGAGGCTGTTGAGAACCTGGCCACTTCCTGTCTCTGTTTTTGCTTCTTGGTCACCATGAAGTGAAGAGTCCTCCTCTTCCAGGTACATCTGCCATGACGCACTGTGCCACCATAGGCCCAAAGCAACAGTGCCAAGCACCCATGGACTGAACCCTCTAAAACCATGAGTCAAAACAAATCCTTCCTCTTTTTAAATAGATTCTCTCAGATATTTTGTCACAGCAATGGAAAAGAGACTAACAGGTTGCAAAAAGCCTACATTGAATAAAAGAAAGGAGTTCAGTCTAGATGGATAAATGACTAGACAGGGGCCCTTGTTTTATTTTAAGTTTTTTTCCCTAGGTATGGCATTGGCAAAATAACTTTTTTGTTCTTACCTCCATATTTTATCTCTCAATTCAATTGCCTGATACTTTTTTTTTTTTACCTTAGAAAGGGTTATTGTCATGCTATAGTTACAAAATTTGGGGCCCAGAGAACAAACCCAAAATAGGAGTTTTTCTTATAGAGAAATTTACTTCCAAAATAACCATAAAATGGCTCGTCTCCACGAGGTTAATGACAATTAACAAAAAAAAGTGTGATTTGGTCAAAGTATCTAAGAATACTCTGGTTATCTGTGTATCCAAGAAAGTGAGGGCTTTCTGTCTCCCCATCCCTGTGCCAATCGGCAGATGTTTATACGAGCAGGAGGCCCAGCCTTGCACAGCTCCACTTTTCAAGCCGTCTCCCTCAGGCAGAATCCTCTGCCCTCTCTCTGCACTCTTCTTCGTCTGGGCCACAGAGATCAGTATCTTAGTGACAGAACCTGTCTAAGATGTTTTATGTTTGACATAAGGGCAAAGGAGAAAAGAATAAAAATTTTTTTAAAAGTCCCCATGTCCTCCTCAGAGAGACAACATGATGTTTGTCTTCCTTTAAGCCTGTCCCCGGTCGAGAGCTCCAGCCCTGCCTGGCTCTCTAGCCTCTTCTCTGCCAGGAGCCTGGGCCAAGCCACAAGCAAAGCCCAGACTTGATGAGTTGACTGATGGCCCAGAGAAGCACGGAGTCATTTGATGCCTCCCACGGAACCCTCACATGGACAGAGCAACTGGATCTGCCAGGCAAGGCCCTGGGAGAGTTCCCTCATCTCTCACCCTTTGGGTCACCCCACACAGGAGGCAAAGTTAGTCCCTGCTAACTCAAATGGGCTCTGCAACTAACTGGAAAAGAGTTAAACTTGTCTCTTTTCTAATTCATGACCAAACAAGCATAAAAACAAACAAACAAAGGAGGCAACATAGGAAAAAGAGAAAGTTTATTCCTGAAAGGAAGAAGGACTGCAGGCTGGCTATTCCCCCCAAAGCCCTCTCTCAGCTTTGCTCATTTTAACTACCTCCCATCCTTCTTTTCTACCTTCTGCGCCAGGAACTGGGCATTCGGTGAGAAGGTCCATTCACAGTGAAAGGAAATTAGGTGAGCAATGTTTTTCAAATCATAAGAACATTCAGGAGGCCGACCCAGCTGTGAAATGTGGGTTTCACTTACCAATAAATCTGACTTTCCATATGCCCATGCCCTGACCCCAATAAAGAAAAGATTCCAGAAAAATCTGTTCTCGAGGGCCCTGCTCTTAAAGGGATTCAGCATGCTGCCATAGCAGATGCGATTCCTCCATACGATCCTCAGGAAAGGAAGAGCAGAAGAGGACACTCCTGAAGAAAATCATTTACTCAGACTTGGCTCCTAACAGTGAAAATAATGGGGGGAGAGAGTAGAGGAGCCATCTGAACACACCTTGTCTAGTGTTTAGACAAGGTAAAGCTAATGGAAGCTAGTTGACGAGTAATCTGATTTTGGAAGCCACCTTGCAGAACCTTGTTGTTGGTGGTGTTAGAGGAAGAAGTTGCAGGAGATGATTCAAGTTGTCTAAGGAAGAATGAGTCAGTTGGTGGAGACCTATATGCTCCTCACCTGCCAAAATGCCCAAGCAAAACCCAGATCTCCCTTCCCTATAGACATTGCTTACTAAAAAAGAAAAAAAAAATCAAGGCATCTAGACCCCGTGAGACTCCTGTTTCTGCTTTCACCAAAATTAGGCCCCGTCAGTCAACAAGCCCTACCAAGAGGTGGTAGGGTATTGGGACACTGATGGAATGTGATGAAGAGAATCCACTTCACCCAAGTGCACCGCACCTGCTTCATGACACCCATTGTACCACCCTAGCTCAGTGCCTGCCTCCATGTTTATGGAAGTAATTGATTAATATGTACTTTTAAAAATTACCTTAATAAAATTATGCATATTTCAAACAGATATGAAAAAAATGTGCTCTAAATATATAATAAGAATTATGATGCATTCTGCTGCCATGTATTTAAATAATAAAAGCAATTTAAAAAATTAATTAATTAAAATAATTAAATAAATAAATTATGCATATGTATACAGTAAGTACAGTATGATCATTGTCATTTCCTTACCTTTTCTTTATGTTTAGAGCTTTCTAGCTCCTCTATTCTAGTTCCTCGTAAAACATATAATTATCGTGGACCATAGTCATTTTACCAAGCTGTAGGACACTAGAGTTTATTCCTCCTCTCTAACTGCATTGTGGTACCTGCCATTCATCTTTTCTCTATCTCCCTTCCCTTTCCTAGCCTCCAAAAAATATGGAAGGCTTCACGAATTTTGAGTCACCCTTGCACTGGGGCCACGTTGATCTTGTCTGTGTTATTTCAATTTTAATATATGTGCTGTTGAGGTGAGCACTAATTAATTATTAATATATTGAGAACTTACATACAATAACATACAGTCTACCAGTTTTCAGGCTCAAGAGTTGGCCTAAAAGAACACAGAAGACTAAATATGGTTAGAAGAGAAAATGTGACCTGACCAAGCTCTGGCAATGTAAAAGCAAACTCTGGCAGTCAGAAAATGAGAAGAAATAGGGGAGGAGAAGAGCAGCCACTCATGTCTTCCCGTAACTTGGTTGAAAATCAGAAATACTTTCCAAAGTTTTTTATTATATTTTATGGGGTGATATAATTATACATAATAGTGGGATTCATTGTGATGCAGTCATATATGCACATGATTTGGTCAAATTTTAATCCCCAATATCTCCCCTTTTTCTCCACTTGGCTCCCTTCCTTCCTCCCTTCCTTTACACTACTGGTCTCCCTTCTATTTAAAAACATATGTTTTCATTATTATGCAAAAACATAGAAGGAATAAATAATAGGGCAAAAACAACTGTTCAAAATAAGAAAGGGGGGGGGCATAAGGCAAATTAAATCCTTAATTTTCTGTGGGTAAGGACCTTGACAAAATTTTAAATTAATAATTCAAGAGATAGTCCATAAATCAAGTAGAGTCGGGGAGGAAAGCATCAGAATTGGTAGCAGAAAGCATTTGCCTCAGGGAAATGCTAAGCCTGGGGAAGTGTGGGGTGGGTAACTATAGATTTTGATTTTAATTCCTTCCCCTGAGTTCTGTTCTCACTGCAACCCCAACCCCTCAGTGTTCTTGATGAATGGGGGGGGATGAAAAGGGAAAGAAAGAAAAGGAATGGAGAGAGACAGGAAGGAGGGAGAGAGAAAATTTTATTAGGAAGTCACATCTTGCTATGTTAGAACCATGCTTGTTCTTTCAATTCCCAATAGCATAAGATGCCAGGTGGTAAAACATTGTCCAAATTGCTTCATTGGTTTTGCTATCTCCTTCTGAGAAGGACCTGACTGTCTGGCAGAGTTAGAGTTGATTAGGCCCCAACTTCCTTAACAAGACTCCTATAGCGCAAGAATTAAAACCAAGTATCAATAAATGGGATGGATTCAAACTAAAAAGTTTCTTCTCAGCAAAAGAAACAATCTGTGAGGTGAACAGAGAGCCTACATCCTGGGAGCAAATCTTTACCCCTCACACATCAGAGCACTAATCTCTAGGGTATATAAAGAACTCAAAAAGCTAAACACCAAAAAAACCCCCAAATAACCCAATCAATAAGTGGGCCAAGGACCTGAAAAGACCCTTCTCAGAAAAGAATATACAATCAATCAAGAAATATATGAAAAATATTCATCATTGCTAGCAATTAGAGAAATGCAAATAAAAACCACTCTAAGATTTCATCTCACTTCAGTCAGAATGGCAGTTCTTATGAAGACAAACAACAATAAGTGTTGGCAAGGATGTGGGGGGAAAAGGTCCACTCATACATTGCTGGTGGGACTGAAAATTGGCGCAACCACTCTGGGAAGCAGTAAGGAGATACCTCAGAAAACTTGGAATGGACCCACCATTTGACCCAGCTATCCCTTGCCTTGGTCTATATCCAAAGGACTTAAAAATAGCACACTACAGGGACACAGCCACATTTCAATAGCTAAACTGTGGAACCTACCTAGATGTCCTTCAGGAGATGAATGGACAGAGTTGAGTTGGAACAAAAGTTCCAATAGCCCATAAATCCATTCAGGTCTTGTGCTATGGCAGGGTTTGCTGCTTGTCCTGGTCATTGACCATCAACCTTTGTTCCACCCTTTTTCTTACAGACCTCACCCAACGTGGACCCAGGAGTGTGCATGAACCTTCAACTTCTGGGTCTTGTTCACCTCCATCTCTTCATCCTGGCCTTGTTTCTCCTGATTTTGGCCTTCAACCTGATCAACTCAGAGTTAATTTATGCCTCCAGAATAGAGCATCCTCATTTAGCATGGATTATCACAGGATATGATGCACATAGTTTGATCAATATCCTTTCTCTGTTTTCCCTCACCTTTGCCCCCTTGCATTTTAGACACTGGGGACCTTTATGGAGATTCAGTTTTAAGTTCACAGTCCCAAAAAGGAACAACCAGAAATTCTCTTGCTTTTAAAGTAGTGAAAGTATAGCTAAAAATCCACAGCACAAATTATGTATAAAATGTAATAATTTCTAATCTTTTTTGTTGTAGCTGATGAGCTACTATTCTTATTAACAGACTTAATTAGGATTCATAGGGTAGAAGACCATTTGGATGGATCATGAAAGACAAAATGTCAGAAAATGACTTGTATGGGGAGACCAGGTATTATGGTTTAGAAATGAGGTGTCCCCCAAAAACTCATGTGTGAAACAATACAAGAAAGTTTAGAGGTCAAATTGTTGGGTTATGAAAGCCCTAACCTAATCAGTGCCTTAATCCCATCTAGAGATTTACTGAGCGGTACCTATAGGAAGTAGGGTTTGGCTGGAGAAGGTGGGTCATTGGGGGTATGTCTTTGGGGTATATATTTTGTCTCTGGAGAGTGGACCCCCCCCCCGCTACTTTCTTGTGCTATGTCCCAGCTACTTTCCTCCACCATACCCTTCTGCCATGATGTTCTGCCTCACATAAGGCCCCGAGAGACAGAGTTGGCAATCTATGAATGGAGACCCAAACTAAACATTTCCTCTTCTAAAACTATTGTCAGGTCTTTTGGTCAGAAGAGCAAAAAAGCAGACTAAAACACAGGGGAGACTCCAACAGTTTGACCATGGTCTGGTAAATATTAGACAGCATAGCTAGGAGCTGCGGTCTGTGATCTGTGATCTGGTTGGTGTTAATGTCACACTAATTAGGAAATGTAGTAAGGCAATATTTGTAAAGACAGATAAGTCAAGCTTATTATATTATTACATTAATCAGCGACTGCTAAGCCATAAAAGGTTAGAACTGGGAAATATCAAGGATGTAGTCACCAACACAGAGCCCTGCGTATGCCTCTGTGCCTTGAAATTCTGGGTACTATGATCCTTGTGAAGCACACACCACCATCTTCTGCTGTATTTTCTGGAGTTTGGGTAGATCAATTAATGTAGTATAGAGTGGGAAAAAATGTTTTTTGCATTGCTGAAATAAATTAACTTGTTCACATGTTCAAAGGGAAAAAAATCTCCATACCAGCTTTCTATAGACTAGAATATTTCATTTGGGGTCTCCCTAAGATATATAACAATTCATCACATTTTAGAAATATAATATTCAATTGACTCGTTTCTAGAGAAATTACCTGTAAGAAACTCAATTTGTGGGGAATAATCTGGTTCACTTTGAGTTTCCAAAGATGAGAGTGATAGCTTGAATTCCATTCTTAAAATTGTCAGTTTAGAGACTAGATTCCAAAAAGTGTATTTCAAACATAATGAAAACGAAACAACATGGCTAAATGCACTTTTCTCAATCTTAATAGGACAAAGGAAGCACTCTCAATTGATATTATTGAAGAGTTGGACAAAATAATTCTGAAGACTTAATATAACACTATTAAAGCCCAGAATTCTAAAAGTGGAATGCTTCTATCCAAGTTCAGAACACAAAATGGGAGAAGAGACATTGGCATTTTGATATGGAGGGAAAGGTGTTAGTTTTCCAGATTTCCATTAAAGAAGAAATGAATTATTAATATTTTTTGTAATACTGGAGATTGAATCCAGGGTCTCACACATGCAAATGCTCTACTACTGAGCTACACCCTTAGCCTAAACTATTTAATTTATTATTAAATATTCCTTGATCGCTGCTTGCATTTATCAATATCACTATGACACATATTTACATACAACTTTCTTACAATGAAGTTGAATATAAAATAAAACCAGTGTACTGATTTTCCTGAAGTCAAGTTCACTTCACCCATTTCTGCTACCTTATGATTTTTAATCCCTGGCCTGAGAGTCCCTGAACTTGAGGGAAAACTTGCTTCTGCATATATGTGGCTATCACTGGAGGCTGCCCATCTGAACTCAGGAGAAGAATCCTACTCGGCCTGGGCGGAAGGCCAGGGCATTGCCACAGAGTGGGCACACGTCCATGAACCAGATCATATGAAGTTTCATTTGCAGCACTGTGTGGCCCAGACATGCAGAGACTGTGGTTGACTACTGGTTTTCAGTTCCCCAGGCCTCTGGCCTTGAAGCAGGACTGATCATTAGCACCTTGACACAGAGCTTGCTCTGAGATATAGGAATATTTTTTTAAGTGAGAAGTAGAGGGACTCAGAGAAAGAGGGGGATTCTTGACTTTCTATAAATGGGATAAGAAGATACTTAAGTGATTGAATGAAACCACCAAAAGAAATTAATATATATTTTTTGTTTTTAATAGACCTCAGGTGAATATAATTAAGTTAATCATAACTCTTGATTTGTGATATACCCTTATCATGGCCTTCTTTTAGTGTGTGGGAAGATGGTTTATTTAATGACTCAGAGATATGAATGCATTCATATTCCAAGTTCCATACTTAGTAATCCTGGGCATTGCACTGAAACTTACTCACATAAGATCTAAGAAAGGGAGTGCAGAAAGAACTGTCCGCATTGAGCATCTATCTATTCCTTGCCAGGTACTATACTGGGCACTTTGCAAACATTATGTATTTAATTCTACCAAAGTTGTCCCAGGGTAAGCAAAAGCAAGCTAAATTGCTTCTCCTCCCTGTTTCTTCTTCTTCCCACTACTGTAAACTGGTTGGTCCGAAATAGAATCACTATGAGTGACAAGAACATTTCAGTACAATATTCTCAGGTGGTTGGGTGGTTTGATGTTGGGTGACTTTCAATTTTCACAGCTGAACTTTAAAAATCTCATTAAAACGGCTTTTTGTTGCTCTTTGCTGGGCTTAAATCAGCAGTGATTCAGCAAATAAGCAGGCACAGCAGGCTGCCTCTTTTGGCAGGGATAATAATGAGCCTACAAAGAATAGGAGTGGGAAAGGAAAAATGTGATTTCAAAGCTAACACA